CAATTTGCATTCAATTTCATTTCAAAATACTACAGAAAAATTTCATATCTAAGGGTATTAATTCTCATTATTAGTCAGTTAATTAGTAAGTTACCTAATAGTTCCCAATTGCTCATTATCAAAATCAACTTATTTACCACTGCCACTGTTAGGGGGAAAAGGATGTCCCAAAGCAAATTCCATATAGGCTTTGTGGACTCCACCCCCACCCCAGGTCAAAGCCAAAGACACTGGGAACTCCAAATCCCATCACCACCAAAGGGAAGGTGGCTGGGACCTGAGGGTGGGGTTAAGCAGCCAGGTGGATATAAAAGGCAGACACGTGGGCTTTGGGGGACCCCATTTTGGCTCTCCGCCAGCTCGCAGCGTCCAGCCAGCTCTGAGAGTGACTTCGTCGGATCGGGTAGGACACATTAAAGACTTTATTTCCCTATTTTCTCCCTGAGTTGTACATTTTCCTTATTTCCTTTCCTCTTGTAAATAAACTTTTTATTAACCTTTTTGTCTGTAGTAGAGTATTCATAAGTCCCTTTAAAGTGCGCGGGTGAGGACCCACAGCCAGGAACCCGTTTAATAGCGGGGTTGCTCTATAACAGCCACGATGTGTGTATGTGTGCGTGTTTGCACAATTAAGGCAATACTGTATTTCTAAAGGATAAATTCCCAAGAGATGCAGTTGCTGGGTGAAAGTTCATGCATATTTAGAATTTTTTAAGTATTGCCAATGGCTTTCCAAAGAAGGAAAGGATGCCCACATTCTGGCCAGCACGGACTAACAGCGACCCTAATCTGAACGGTAAGAAGTGGGATCTCAGAACTGGCTAGATCTGCTTTTTCAAAATTTTTGATAAAAATGAGCCCCTATTCAGATGTTTGCTGTCATTGTTATTTATTCGAGTCTTTTGCTGGCAGATTCAATGATTGTTCATCTTTTTCTCATTGCTTTCTTGGAGCCTTTTATATATTAAGGAGCTTTCCCTTTGTGACATGTAGTGCAAATTAGTTTTCTTCACAGTGACAGCTCTATTTCTTCTGTTAGGAAGGGTTTTTATAGAGTCATGTTTGTCAGCACCACCAGCACTGCCCTGAGCTGCTTATGTATTCCTGCTAAGGTTTTGACCATTGTTCTAATAAAGCATGAAACCATTCAAATATGGAGTCTCTGCTGTCATCATTTCCCTTCAGATTCCCTTCCTAGTAATGATCCATTATAACCACGTGATAAATATAAGTTATTTCCTTAATAAATCATTTATTATGCAAAGATGTGCATTGGAAAAAAATATCTTCATAAAGCAGGTTCTCACTAAAAGCCTTAGATTCAGGAGAATGGGTTTTGTTTTTTTTTTTTTTTTTTTTTTTGATGCACAGTAAATCCAGGAGTTTGGGGAAGATCAAATGTGGTCATTTTATTGATGGTAAATCATGAGGCCAAGTAAGATAATGAGCCATTTTGTTTGCTTTGCTTAAGGACATCTTTCTTCAGCATTTTAAGAGTTAGCATATATCCCGTTTGCTTTGACTGTTAAGGAAGAAATAGTAAAAGAAAAAAAATGGCAAATGTAGTGAATGTCTTAATTTGACTTTGTCAAATAAACATGCATAAGAATCATTTGATGTTCTAGTAATTGGCGGATTTACTGTTCACTGTTCTTTGCTTCAGACTCTATAAATTTGAGGCTAATTTAATGCAAGAATGATAAATTGTTAGTGATATTTGTCCATTAGACATGAACGTAATTTTTTTTTGTATTTCTTTTTTCTAAATTTCTTTTTTCTTATATATTTTTATTAAAGAAACATTGTTTCATAACACTGTATACGATCCAGTGGAGAGCATTCAGGTGCATGACCACACTACACCCACCACCAAGGCACCTGGACTCTTCCACCATAGTCCATTGGCTCCCCTTCCCCTCTCCAATTTCCCCTCCTCCTCTGGTAGCCTCAGCTTTACAGTCAGATTTCTAGATTTGCTTTTGCTTTGGTATTGTCTGCCTCTTGCTTTATTTTTCTATATCCCACATATGAGCAAAACCATCTGCTATTTATCTGTCTCCTTCTGGCTTATTTCACTTTGCATAATCCCCTCCAGTTGCATCCATGTTGTTGCAAATGACAAAAGTTCATCTTTTTTTATAGCTGAGAAGTATTCCATTGTGCGTATTCCTAATCCACTCATCTTTCCCTTGAGCACTTAGGTTTCTTCCATAATTTGGCTATTATAAATTATGATGCAACGAATGTGGGAGTACATATCTCTCTTCTAATTAGTGTTTTTGCATTCTTTGGGTAAATACGTAGGAGTGGAATTGCTGGATCATATGGTAGATAGTTTTTTGAGTGGCAGAAATGATAGCTCAAAGCAGCACTTCTCCTCACTGAATGAGTGTGTGTGTTTATATTTCCTTCCAACTTTGTCATCTTTTGCCTGTTAGTTTTCTCCTTAATGAGTTAAATAAACCAGTCTTTGGCATGTCTTCAGTCTATGAGAGTTGGGAGGTTAGCAGATTGAACATTATCTGGCTGGACTGGATATCTGTGTCCTCAATTTTATAACCATCCTGTTCAGCTCTTGAAATGTATGATTTTTTAAAAAGAGGCCATATTAAAAAATATAGGATTTTAAAGACAAATGCCATTTCTCGAGGTATGAGATTACTATAATATCTAAGCTTTGTGTCTCAAGACTCACAGTTGCAAGGAGAAATGCCCAGAGCAACCCCTGACAATTATTCTATTCAGAGAGACTTGTTGCAGAAGACCCTTGAAATCCAGGTCCACTTCTTCTTCCTGTATGCAGGATGGAGCTGAAAAATCAGTAAAAGTATCATACGCATTTGTGATAAAGAAGTTGCATGTGATTACCTGTTTCAGCACCCAGGCATGTCCTTACAGGGCTGGCTTTGGCTTGGAGGTCACTGTAGGGGGCAGCAGTCCTGCCTGCAGGAGGGCACCCTCCTGGTGTCTGTCACCAACATTGGGTGCAGCAGGCTGGGGCCCACAATGCCTCTCCTTTCACCACCTGGCATGAATTTCCTGCTGACCTACTCAGTTTTTCTAGACTGCCTTCCAGTTTCGAATCCAGAATTGTAGAATTTAGCAAAATGAGCTGAGTCAATAAAATAAGGACTTTCCAGTTGCACTTCCTGTATGAGATTGCATGTGTGTGTGTGTATGCACATATAATACATGTTTTCTATGAAAATACTTATATTTATGAATTTAAATATTTATGTAAGATCATGAAGTAGATGTGTATCTATACAAACAATCAACAGGTTGAGTTGAGGGCTTCCGAGGTGCTACACCTTGTTTCATCCTTTTTAAAAGTACATGTCCTGCAACCACACACCAGGTAGCCCAGCAGGGAGCTGTTGCTCCCTTCTCGCCTTCATGGCCCCAGGACGATGCCGGGGACATTTGTCCATGATGTGAGGATGGGTTACATCAATACTTTGTCGTTTTTTGAAACCCCTTTCTCCACTTTTGGTTCATTGCAGGTGCCAGGGGGCACTCTGGTGTGGGAGGCGGCCCCTGCTCTGCCTGCCTGGTAAGATGGTGGGAGGTGGCTTTGTCTTCACTCAGGATGGCAGCCCTCGTCCTGGGAGGAGAGCTGACTTGATGTGCTTCTTGTCTCGGGCGTGGCCTGCAGCTTGTCTCTTTGACCTGATTCCTCTGGCCCCAGCCAAGTTACTAAATAATGCATCTTCCAGATTTTAGTTTTTGCTTTTCAGTTTGTATAATTTTTTTTGAGGTAACATTGGTTTATAATATTATAAAAGTTTCAGGGTACAGCCTTTGACATCAAGATCTGTACCTGCTACGTTACGTTTGCCACCAAAAGTCTAACTTTCTTCACCAGAACAGTTGACTCCTTTACCCCACTGGCTCACCATCTGATCCCCTTCCCCTGCTGGTATGCTCTATTTTGTTCTTGTAGCCCAAGAGTTTGTTTTTGTTTTGCTTTGTTCATTCATTTGTTCCGTTTCTATGCGTGAAGTCACACAGCGTTGGTGTTTGTCTTCCCCCACCTGACAGAGTCACTAAGCAAAGTCCCCTGTGGGTCCCACAATGTTGCTGCAAATGGCCAGACCTGACAATTGGCGCCTTTCAGAAGGAGGACTATGCTCCACTTGACACCCACCCAGTGCTGGACACCAGTGCGTCATGTGGATGAAACTAGGAATTTGACTTTGTTCAAACGGCAGTGAGACACAAAGGCAGCTTCTCTTCCCAACAGCTTCCCTCACTGTGACATTTGCCTCGACACACTGGCATTCCTACCAGGAACCTCTGAGGCCAAATGAGAAACAGGGAGGTCCCTCTGGGGTGCCTGAATGAATGTGAATTCCACTGTGATGTGATGAGGGGCTCACTGCCCTCCCTCTCCCCTCAGCATTCCAGAGCCGTCCTGGCCACATGAGCTCTTCTGCTTCCATTTTGTCTACATGCTCTAGAGAGCTCAGGGATAAGTTACTGGCACAGCCTTGGAGAGCTTATTTGAGCTTATTTTTTTCCTAAGGTGTGCTTAACTTTGGAGAAGCAATCATCTCCAAGTTAAGAGAAAAAGTTTAAACTATGAAAACCATCTCTACGCATTTTCCTTTCTCCATCTGGCCCTCATTAAGCCTTTCAGACATGAGCTGCAATTTCTTGTTACTGGATTTGATCTAATACAACGTGATATTCTCAGACTCTCCTTCTGGAGCTTTCAGAGCTTACTTTGCTCCAAGTCTTCAGTGACTGGTCAAGACTTTCACCCACCCATTCTGCTGCGTGCCTGCCCCGCACCCACCACAAGGAACCTATGTTCCTTAGAGAGCCTGAAATACAGTGGAGGGGAGAGAGAGAGAGATAGACAGACAGACAGACAGACAGACAGAGAGGTGTCTACTCCAGGGCTACCCTGTCTCAGGCAAAAGGCCCCCAAATGTCATAACAAAGGGCTGGGTTTAAAGGTGGAGGATCACCCTGTAAATATAATTCTCTTTTGTAGGTGGAAGGAACTGGAAGTGTGAGCTGGCATCTTTGAGTGTAAGTTGGGGACTGAAGGGAGAAGTTGCCATGGCAACTGGGAAGCTAGAGATGCCCACAGAGCCCATCTGCCCACCGCGGCCATCTCCTTGGAGACTGCAATGTTGATGCAAGTCACTACTCTCTTTTGGGGAGTTAAGAGTTTTACTTTTTTGAGTGAGCTATTTTTGGTGTTGAAAATAACCTCTGCCAAGGCAAAGACTGAGCCTGTTCACAACCTGAGGTCCTGTTGCATCACGGATATATCGGGTGGAATTTGACTCTGCAGTCTGGTGCCCTGGCAATGCTCACACCCCTTCCCCTGGCTCACAAGGTGAAGACTCGGGGAAGGCTCCAGGTCTCCAACCTTACCTTAAAAAAAAAAAAAAAAAAAAAAAAAACAGACCTCCTGATGCACTGACTCTTTTTGCTTAAGCAAAAGCCGGGAATAATTTTTTGTAAAATCGACTTTAAAGAAAGAGATACATTACATCCAACTCCCTACACATGAGCAAGTCTGAAGAGAGTTTAGAAAGCTGCGTGCACAGCAAAGAGAAACACTTCTATCCGCCCTCCATTCCACCCCACCCCCAGAATATTCCTTCTACCTCTTTTTTCTGCCCCTAGCCCAGGCAACCATTTATCTGCCTTATGTCCCTAAAAGCCAGTTTACCCATCCTAGGACTTTATGTAAGAAATCAGAGTAGGGAGCATTTAGTGTCTGGCTGCTATCACTCAACACAGTGACTTTGAGGTTCACCCACCTGTCAGTAGATCATCCTTGGATGCTGAGCACTGCCCATTGTGTGGGATTGATCTCATTTTGGTTACCCACTCACCCAAAATGGGCATTTGGGGGGCTCAGTTTTAAGCTCTTTTGAATAAAGCTGCTCTTGACATTCATTTACACGGTGGTGTGGACTTCTCTCATGGATAGGTAGCCACTGATGGAGCAGCTAGGTTCTAGAGTCACTGTACCATGAACTTTTAAAAAAACTGCTGGTTTTCTAGAAGGGGTGCATGTTCCAGCTGGCCCACATTTCTGCCAGGATCAGGAATGGACTCATGTTTTCCTTTTTTCCTTCCCTGGGCATGACGCCAAGTCTTACCGTGATTTGACTGTTTCGCTGGTGACATTGAGCATCTCATCAGGGACTTGTTGACCATGAGAACTCTGCTTTTGAGAAATGTATGTTCAATGTTTTTGTCTATTTATTTTTAAATAGCTTATTTGTTTCCCCCAGATATCACAGATGGCTATCTTTCATATTTTATATGAAGTCTGTCTTTATCTGCAAGAGTTTCTGTTTATTAGACTGTCACTACACCATATTGGAAGCAGAATTCCAGGTAAATTTTGGAAACAGAACCCCTAACCCCTGGCCCATGTGTAGGGTGATTTAATCAATAACTGCATTTCTACGACACATCCTTTCATTATAGGAAAGCAGTAAAATAATTTAATTTTCTAAGAAGAAAAGTATCAAACAGAACATATTTTTCTTTCTGACCGTTAGTTACACTATCAAGGTAAAATTTTTTCTAGCAAAGTATCAAAACATGAGTTTCTCCATGTTCTTTCATTATATTTTAAGTTTTGTTTATATGTTAATGACTAATCATTTAAAACTTGTTTGAATGTAAATCACTGATAAAAGAAATGATGTGTAGAAACATTCAGACTGATAAAAATAGATTCCTTCTCTTGGGATATGCTTTAATATGTACATAAACATTATTTTATTGGGCAAATTATTTCATTTGTTTAGAGATTATTTTAAGTACTTAAGCAACGTGGTTCACAAAAGGCCAAACATTATTTCCATAACCCTGATTACTTTCATTTGTGTAATAAACACTTTCTCTGTCTACAATATCAATTCCAACTATGGGAAATATAAAGTATTATCAAGTTCGGATTAGATACTGATAAAACTTCTTCTCTTCGCTCCCTGATCCACCCAGCACCTCCCGGCATCCAGCTACCTCTCACCCTAGAGCCTGTGTCCACTGCTGAGGAGACCCTCCCATAGCTCACATTCCTCTCTTTCCTCCAGTGTCTCAAACACTCACCTTCATGGACACTCCACTGTATCTCTTAGCTCTGCTGTCTCATCAGCAGTGAAGCAAATTATAATCGTTTCTCCTCAAAGAACCATCTCTGAATTTAGTGCTGCTGTCTTTGGCGTGGTCACTTCGTCCACTACACTCTTATTTCAAGAAAATTGTCAGTGCTCCATCCAAACATCTTTTGAAATTTCTTAACAAAAAGAACCCTTCTTTGAGTGACCTCTGTGGTGCCAAAGGTGCTCTGACTTTTAGAAATAGATCCACCACTTTATGGAGTGAACTGTGGGGGCAGGCGTCTGCAGCAGTTGGGAGTCAGGGGTTTGGATCAGGGGTTCCTCTGACAGCATGTGGGGAGCCCACGAGTTCCTCAGCCCCACCGGCCAATGACACCAGGGGTGATGATAAAGTGACAAGCCCTTCCTCCAGACCCTTCTCAGGCAGTCATTTTATAGTCACTTCCATCTCAGAGTTGAATAAACCCTGGCTCAGAGATTTTAAAGGGTCAACCTATCGATGACAGTTACAGATCCAAGTCATAGTCACCATCAGCTAGGTCTTGTGTTCAGGGATTTAAATGCATGTTCTTATTGTATCTTCCTAGCAACCTATTGAATATAAAATTGTTCTTGTTCTTATTGCAGTTCTATCAATGAGAATGCTGATCATTGTGGGGGTTAAGTAATTTGCCCAAAGCCACACAGTTAATGGGCTTCAAACCAAGGTGGACACTGTCCCTTGGGGTGTGATTCCCATTGCCAAATTCTCCTTCCAAAGCCTTTTGAGTTGGGCAACATCCTGCCCTGGAGCAGAACACTCTGCACTGTCTGTTTCCCGGCCAGGCCCCTCCCTCATTCCCTAGAAGTTGGGCAGTTCTCGTCTGGTGGAGGCCTATCCCACAACTATGAAAGAACCACTTCAAATCAGTCCTGCTGAAGATGTTTGAGGAGATTTGAGAAGTCACAGCTTGAGCATTCAGTTTTGAAATATTTTTAAATGTTTTCCAAGAAATATGACTAAATTCATCAAGGATTTGAATACCTCAGTGTTTGTTCTCATTGCAAAAGTTGTGTTCACATAGCTTGGTGTTTGCAAAATGAACGTGTCTCGTACTATATCTGACATTGTGGAGACCTCAACATGCAAAGCTGTGTCAAAGAACATTCTGTGGTTTGCAAATGCCAAAGACAAGACAGAAGTCTTGACTTTAAGTTCTATACACCTCTCTAAATATAAGACCTTTTGTTTTCTGCATTCTCACTTAGGTGTATAGCCCCGATTGGCTCCCTGAAGTAGCTAATTGTAGGGTTTGTGTTTTTATAGTACAGCTTTGGTGAACAGAGTGAAGAAAATTCTCAAGAGCAACTATCAAAAATATATACTGGTATAATGTCCTCCAGATCATAAAAGTGATGTTAAATACTCAATGGAGTAAGAAGTACTCTGCATGGACTCATTGTTCTTTGGAGACTTTAAAGTCAGCTTTCCAGGACTGGCCCAAGTCAGCAGATGGAGAAGAGATATTATACAAGCAGCTCTGGATGGGGACAGAGAGTGGTCATGATGCCCAGAGACTTGCAAGGGGAACTAGAGCATCCAAGAGGTCAGGGGCATGTGGCTGCTGGCTCACCAACCTGATACATGTACATGTCAGTGGATTTTCTGGAAGGAATGGTATCTCATGCACTATTAAAAAACTCTACCATAAGTGAGTACTCCAGGGGGGAGTATAGAAGCATCTTGGTAAGTGCCTATAAAGCTAGTTTTCTTGCTCTAGAACCCTTTCTCAGGGTGTTCCATGGTGTTTGGAGGGCTCTAGTTGAAGGATATCTTGTGTCAGACATCTTTAGAAGATATTCCAGGAGGTCTTTAATGGCCTCCTGGGTTTGGGGTCATGAAGCTGAGAGCCCCAGTTCCAAGGGATCTTCTTTTGGTGTCAGAGGTTGGCCTACAGCACCTATACAGGTATGTCACCTTGGATGATATTCAACCATTCAATAGCGAGGAAGGAGCCACAGAGCAGGACCCCTATAAATTTGGGACATCTTGAAATGAATGAATGTTTTGTAATATCCAAGCAGAACATGTGATATCCCTAAGAACTACATCTTGCAAAGGCCCTAAGGGTCTCAGGCAATTCCGTGCTTGAAAATAGTGAACCCACCAGTAAATCATTGCCTGCGAGTATCTACATCTTCAAGGGACCAGGGAAGCCATATTATCTGCTGTCACTCCCCAAATGATGTATTTACCTTGTAAGTCTGGTAAGAATTCTGACTCCACGCTGTGTAATTCTGATCAAATCATGAAGTCATATATTTTCTTCCCAACTATATCACAATCCAAGAGATAGGTACTAAACCAGCCATCTTCTAATTATTGAAGTTAAGATGTAAAATAATCATTAGATGTTAAACACAAAATTGAATTATGATTATTCATCAGCTCACACTCATACATAGTTTAAAAGTGTCTACAGATAACCTAATGATAAGTGAAGGAGAGAATGTAAAAGCAGACAGAAGAAGGCTTTCCCTCAGAAGCCCATCCTGATGGCAAGGTCAAATTCACCAGGATCTCTTTCTCTGAGAAACAATATCTCTCTCTTAAAAGCTGACATCTTGGGGCCTCCCTGGTGGTGCAAGGGGTTAAGCACCGCACTATGAAGCAATCTGCAGCTTCTGCAGCCTGGGTTCGATCCCTGGCCAGCCAGAGAGCAACCCACATGGCGAAGCAGACTTCTCCTGTCTTGCCTGCTACTCCCCTCAGCAGTATATTTCAGTCAGTCTGCCTGTTCTGTTCCCCACTCTGTCTCTGGTGAATCCTCTTACCCTCCACACCTCTGGCCTGTACCCCAGCTCTTGTATGCATAAATAAATAAATCTTTTTAAAAAAAAAAGTTGACATCTTGGTATTTTTTGTTGTCTGTTGAGCTATTGCCTAGTAGCCAATCTTATTACTTCTGAAAAGTTTGGGACAAATATGTACCATGGATTAATAACTGGAAAACCCCACACTAACTCCCAGCCCTATTTTCTTTAGGCTTGTCAAGAGCAGACAATGTGTCCAAACATACTGTACTAGAGGTTTACTGAAAGTGACCTCAGGGTGTCCTTAGTGCTCACAGAGCAATGATACTGGGATGACACTACAAACAGATACTAATCAGATTTTGCTTTCACTGCTGAGTATTCACAGGCCCCTGGTTAGTCTGAGTAAGAAGTTATTTATGGAGGCTTCAGGATGCTTTCACCTCCGCCGCATGCAGCAGACACACAGGGGAGCACACACATGCACATCCCCAAGCAGCGGGCAGGCAGGTGCTGAGAAATGTTGTTTTGTGGGGTTAAAATGTGTGTGTCCTCTGAAGAAATGCAACACATGGAGTCCAACTCCAAAATAGATTTCATAAAATGAAGGAAGGGAACCTGGCATCGTGCCCGTCATCAGAAAACAAGCCTGACTCAGAGGTCAGAATTTGCCAGTCAGTGTAGGCATTTACAAGAACATTTGTCATGAATATGAATTCTGATTCACTAATAGGTGACAGCTCATATTATTTTATTTTACTTTGCAAATGATCTTACACCTCGTTATCTCTTGTTTGATATATATATATACATATATATATATATATTTTTTTTTTGCAGGAATGCTGAAATGGATTTATTATATAAACCCAGCCTCTTGCCAGGTTCAAGCAGAGGAATGAATACACATTCCCTCCTTAAAATAATAAGAAATGCATTACAGAGAGTTGTATCAACATCACTGAGAATCTTTGGTAGAATAACTCTGAAGAATCTGTATTTACTCCATGCTGCTAAATAGCCCAGTGAATTTATATTCAGGTTGGCCTGTTTTAACTTATCCCTAATATTTCCTCTAGATTCAATCTATTTTCTCTTTGTATTTCTCTTGTTATTTTCTGCTGATACAATTTTCAATATATAAAAAAATAATCTCTGCTGTGATCATTCTTTTATTGGATGCATCTTAATTTACTTTGTAATTAAATTTTCATTTTCAGCCTTTTTTGTTCTTTTCTATTAAGTTTTGATCTCTGTGACATTCTTCAATTTTTCCACTTTTTTTAAATGTTTTTTTAATTTAAATTTTATTTTTATATTCCCCATACAATTGTAATCCCCTTATTTTGACCCCAATCCCTCCCCTCCCCGCCCCCCACCCCCCATAGAGTGTCTCTGGTTCATAGTTTTTGTTGATTTTGATTTTCACTTTCTTATAGTTATTCATTTCCCTGGTCCCTTATTTAAGTTTTCTAGATTCCTGGTATGAGTGAGACCATCCGGTATTTTTCTTTTTCTTTCTGGCTTATTTTGCTGAGCATGATCCCTTCCAGCTCCATCCATGTTGCTGCAAATTGCATGTGTTTATCTTTTTTGAATGCTGAGTAATATTCCATGGTGTATATGTACCACATCTTCTTGATCCAGTCATCTATTCATCTATTGTTTGATATCTTAAGACCCTTGTTTGAGAAGGAGTAGTTGTATGAAACAACACCTGTGTCAGGAATGTTAAAAAAAAATTCATTTCTGGGCCTCCCCGGTGGCGCAGCGGTTGAGCGCTGGGTTGCGAAGCTGCCCGCGGCCTCTGCGGCGCCGGTTCGATCCCCGGCTGCTCCCCGGCCACCGGCGGAGGATCCCACATGGTGCGCAGACCTCTCCTGCCACCCGCTGCTCCCCTCAGCAGTGTACTTCGGTCCTTCTGCCTGCTCTGCTCCCCGCTCTGGCTCTGGTGAATTCTCTCACCCTCCCGTGCTTCTGACTGTACCCAGTGCATGTATAAACAAAACAAACAAACAAACAAATAAATAATAAATAAAAAAACATGCCTCTATAAAAAAAAAAAAATAAAAAAAAAAAAAATTCATTTCTTAGAAATGAATGGTGCAAAACTTAGAAAGGACGGTGCAATAAAGGTTTAAAAGAGGTGGTTCCATCTAGATAATAACATTTTAAATAATTCATTTCTCAAAAAAATGCATATGTTGGAGAGTAAAAGAGAAAAGGTATTGTCAGGTCAACACGAGGTCAGCTAGATTCAGTGCCACCGAAAGCAAACATCAGCCAGGCAGAGTAAGAATAACCTGACATGTCTTCAACCACAGTCAATGGTTGCTGAGAGGTGGGGGTCTTCCCTGTAAGTGAAGGTGAGGAATGTGGTCAATCTGTTAGGTGCTGGTCAATTTGCTAACAGGCTTTGTGATTTCAGAGAAGTATTCTTGATTTTGCTTTTCTCTCTTAATATACACTCAAGATATTATTTCTGAAAATTTTGGGACAAATATGTACCATGGACAAATATCTTCTCTGGGTAATAATCCCTAGTAGTAAGCAAACAGGTTTCTCATTCTTTTTCAGACTAAATGGTATTCCCTTGATGTGTAGACCATATCTCCCATTAAATGTTTCCATCCCTCTTTTGCTCCTTTTGTGACCATTCACTGAACAATTTCATGATGGTGCATTTTTTTTTCACTTGCATGTAGTCAGTTTTATCAATTATGGCTTCTGGATTCCTTGGTTATACTTTCTGTATTTCAAAATAATTCTTCAAAATTTCTCCAATGGCTTCTAGCATTTTGTGTAACTAAGACAATTTCAAAAAAGAATTTTAGTTTCACAGAGTATATAGGCAGAAAGTACAGAGATTTCCCATGCACTGCCCACCCCTCCCCAGACACAATTTTTAACGTCCCCCAACCCCCCTGGGTGGTATATTTGTTACAACCAATGGACCTACATTGACATGTCATCATCACACAAAGTCTGTTGACTCTGGGTGCTGTCCATTCTGTGGATTTGCAGAAACTTATAATGATATGAACCCACCATTGCAGCACCGTGAACTACTCTGACAGAGTAGTTTCACCCTATACTCTTCAATGCTGTTCATAGCTTTCTCCCTAGCCCCTGGCAGCCACTGATCTTTTTACTGTGTCCATAGCTTTGTCTTCTTCAGAATGTTCACAGAGTTGGAACGATCCAGCGGTAGCCTTTTCAGATGGCCTTCTTTTCCTTAGTGATATGCAATTAAACATCTTCCAAGCCTTTTTATGGCTTGCTAACTCATTTCTTTCTCAATGTACCACAGTTTATTTATCTGTTCATATACTAAAGGACATCTTGCTTCCAAGTTTTGGTAATTATGAATAAAGCCGCTATCATGTGCAGATTTCCGTGTGGACATGTTTTTAACTAGTTTGGGTAAATACCACAGAGCACAATTGCTGGCTCATCTGTTAAGAATATGTTTATTTTGGCAAGAAATTGCCAAACTGGCTGTTGCACTTTCATCAGCAATGAAAACAATGAAGATTCCTATTGTTTAACATTCAGTGTTGTTACTGTTCTAGATTTAGCCATCCTAATAGTGTTCAGTGGCTCTCATTGTTGCTTGAATTTGTAATTCCCCACTGAAATATGATAGTGCATATATTTTCACAAGCTTATTTGCCATTATGCCTTCTATAGAAAGGTATCTTTTGTCCAATTTAATTGGGGTTTTTATTTTCTTATTGTTGACTATAAAGAGGTCTTTATATATTTTGGATAACAGGTCTTTATCAGGTGTGTGTTTTATAAAGATATTCTCCTAGTCTTTGTTTATTTTTTTAAAGATTTATTTATTTTTATACAAGAGCTGGGGTACAAGCCAGAGGCACAGGAGGGTGAGAGGATTCACCAGAGACAGAGCAGGGAGCAGGACAGGCAGACGACCCAAATACACTGCTGAGGGGAGCAGTGGGCGTGACAAGAGAGGTCTGCCACACAGTGTGGGAATCGAACCTGCCCTGAAGAGGCTGCAGACAGCTTCACAGCGCTGTGCTCAACCCGCTGCACCACCAGGGAGGCCCTCTCCTAGTCTTTAGATTCTTGTTCTCTTAGTCACGTCTTTCATTATAGCAGGAGTTTTTAATATATTTTTTTAAAGATTTATTTATTTATTTATTTATACAAGCACTGGGTACAATCAGAAGCACGGGAGAGTGAGAGAATTCACCAGAGCCAGAGCGGGGAGCGAAACAGGCTGAAGGACCAAAGTACACTGCTGAGGGGAGCAGTGGGCATGGCAGGAGAGGTCTGCACGCCATGTGGGACCCTGGCCCGGTGGCCGGGGATCTAATCAGCGCTGCAGTGGCTGCGGGCAGCTTCGCAGCCCAGCACTCAACCACTGCACCACGGGGGAGGCCCAGGAGTTTTTATTATTAATGAAATCTACCTTATTTTTTTCTTTGATGGATTTTTTTCTCTCTCATACTTTTGCTGGTGTATCTGAAAGTCATCCTCAAAAACAAGGTCATCTAGATTTCCCCGTTTTCTTATTGGAGTTTTATGGTTTTGCATCTTACATTTATATCTGTGACCAATTCTGAGTTAAATTTTTTGTGATGGACATAAGGTCTATGTTTGCAATCATTTCTTTTTCTACATGTGTATGTCCATTTGTTTCAAGACAATTTGTTTAAAAGTCTCATCTTTCTCCGCTAAGTTGTCTTTGTTCTTCTTTGTCTAATGTCTGTGTGATCAGCAGTGATGCCCCTCTTTTATTTGTGATATTAGTTGCTTGTTTCTTCTCTTTTTGTTAGGTTGGCTAGAGGCTTAACAATTTATATTATTGACCTTTTCAAGGCGTTTGTTCAGCCCTACTAGAAAAATCATGTTTTTCATAAGAATGAAAAACACAGAGAAAAAAATTAACAAATTACCGAGCTGAAGGAAATTTCAAGTGGCCTAATATAGAGGTAAATTGAGTCCCCCATAGAGAGGGTAGAGAGCAAAAAATTTATGACTTAATCACTAAAAGTTACCAAATTTGATGAA